TGTGTATTGGGGGAAAACAAATTGGAGGGGCTGTTTTCACAGAGAGTGAGTTGGTAAAATGGAAAACTCGCGTTGTTACCTGATCAAACTAGCATACACCTCGGCCAAGGTCACTGTGCTGCAATGTCTCGCAAACGAGACATTCATCTGGGTTCCAGGTCAGTCTCCCATCAAAATCAAATTGATACGCAGACGACATCACGTGATTTCCTTTGCACTAATCCCGACGCTAACCATATCGTTATGAGCAGAAAAATAGGGTATTCTGCCCCTAAGAACAATAAGATTTTGACCACAAATCGCACATACAGTAAGCCAACTGGTCGTTTTACATGGTAAGAGGAAGGCAAGCAAAACTAAAGTGAGTGGACCAGATAGAAAGAAAACTGGGTGATATGTATACATATATGTATATCTTATATACTGAATATATATATATATATATACTGCAGCGAAACCACATGTGGTTTGGATGTATGTCAACATCGGAGGAAAGTTGACTCAAATAAAACCTGCATCTGGACATCAGCACACACTTTTAGTTTTCAGAACACTAATTGACGAAAATGAATGTTCTCGTGACGGACCTTTTTACTAGGTCAATGCAGATCGAGGACCCGAAAATGCGAACGAGAGCTCCATACAAGTAAAACGAGAATATACTGGAGTCTATGGGTGGCAGTGCGAAAACTGTTTACATCACGATCGATTGGTCCGAGTAACCAGGGATCACGTGAGCTCAAAACACATACGAGCACTTTCGGAGAGCACAGACGCGGGTTGTTTGAGCCAATCCCGATGACGTCAGCTGAGGCTAGTCAGTGATATCGAACTATCTTGGCAGGTAGATAGGTGCTTGATATAACTTTCGGAAATTGGTGTTAAAATTCATGGTAAGACTCTTATCCGTTAAATGAGCAACCATCGCACCGGTAACAGACCCCTCGATCTGACAGTCAGGAAAAATGGGTTATATATCTTTTGTTCTCGTGCATAAGTGTCAATTCGTTCACCCTAGGTATTCTTCGATAAAACAGCAGGTGATGGAGTAGAGTACCATGTTCTGAGCGTGGACCGGTAGCCTATACTTGAGTTGTAGACGCATCTTCTGAGTAGGTCTGAACCATATCGTGAACGAAGCGACCGGAAACACCACTCAAGCAACACAGTTATGAGCATTCCGGAAGTTTTTGTAAGTGCACGGAGTCCTCAAGTGTCTGCTCACGTGACCGCTAGTCACTCAGACGAATCGATCGTGGCGTGAGCAACTTTCACACTTGCACTCGAAGACTCTGTTTTGTCCTTGTTTCACTTGTATGGATCAGTAGCATTTAGTTTTGTACTGACCAGAATAAGTGGTAGTCAGAACATTGTTGTTCATCTTCCCACGTCTTGAATTTTACAATTTTACAATTTTACATATCGTCACATCCCCCGTCTTTGGTAAGATGAACCGAAATTCAGTAACCAACAGCCCACCCTTTCCTGTATCGCCATCACCAAGCAGATGTGGTTCCCAGATTTCAATCAGTTTCCTCCGTTAATTAGCACCAATTTGTACGTTAAAAAATAGTTTATAAAAACAACTGACGTGAGCAGGAGATCCTAGCAAAATTTGGATGGATGGCTTGAATAGTATGATCGTTTTGTGAAGCTAGCCCGGATCTGGGGCGAGATGGCCCAAGTGGTTAGAGCAAGAAATTTACCGACCGGAAGGTCCGTGGTTCGGAACCGACCTCTGCCACTCGACTTCTCCTGTCTAGAGTTGCGCAACCTGCCAGTATCCCGTCCCTCGTGCTTTCTCCGGGTGGCATGACAGCTAGGCAATCAAAGCGTGTTACAGCTAAACGATTTTTTAACCTGGATGGATTCTGTGTACAAAACGTTCTTGTGAATACGGGTCAATAACTCGTTTCTAGATCCACTGGCTAACTCATTTGCGCCAAGTACATCTGTCTTCGTGCTAAAGAGCTTGAATGAAGCACTTATCCAATTACTCTTGTTCATTTGCACCAAACAAGGGAAGCTATCCATCACATGAAAGAACATTCACGGTGGTATTGCACGGCTGCGCCGGGATATGAATTCGGTGTGTCTGAGATTCAAGGCGAATCTGTTAGCACAGCTCTGTCAGAAAGTGCTGCATGCACCCGGACACTTGCTTCTAAACCGTTGAGTTTCTTCACACAGCCACCTCCGACCGGTCAAAAAAACATCCATGATGTTATAAGCTGGGTGATCTTGGCAGATGATTCATTCAATCGACACAAGTAAGACGGTTACTGAAACTGGGAATTGGAAAAATTATTCACACAATTTAACCGTGCGTAGTTTTGCCTGTTCAGCCAAACAAATTCTGCTGCGTCCAGCGTGTTCCAATGGAGTAATTGGTCACACGGTTGCCTGACATGTTAGACAAAAGTGGTTCGCATTCTGTCACTTTTGAAGAGCCCTGAAAAGAGCGAGGCCGAGTTCAGCGTCTCACCAAAATGACTGCTTGAGGACAGTGCCAATGAGAGTTGAGAAACTAGCCAACTGGAAGCTAGGACTGAACCCTCGGGCGTCTTTCTCACAACTGTAAACCAGTACGCGTGTGCACCTAACTTGCGAAATCTGAATGTATATAGAAATACGAATGTGATTGGACAGTGAAGCTCTACTGTCTTCGATTGTGGAATCGATTATTGGGCCGAATGAGTGAAATTAGGTTGGCTCCTAATACTTCCCCCTAGGAACATCTTACCTTTTGTTCTTTCAGTTTTAAACTGTCTTATTTGCCAGACAATGACCACTTTTCATTTCAAGCCAGCTTGCTAAATTTTCGTTTCCATTCTAACTATTCAGTGCCCAAAATCATTGCCCAGTTGACTGACGAGTATCTTGGAAGCCGAACGCTTTCATGGAGTGCCGGTTCCACTGTGAACACAGACACCTTCCAGCTCACCATATGGAGTGGTGATTTTGAATCCAAGGTAAAGATGCAAGGTGTGAATACGTGGACGTTGTCCGGTTTGCGGCCGTGTGCATTTCACACCATCCAAATTTCACCACTGGTAGACGGATCTCCCGTACTCGAAGACTCTTCTCCCCCAATGAGTTTTGTAACTCGCGGATCAGGTGAGCCCTGCTTTTTCATTTATACTCAATGAGTCAACAAATTTGACAAAACGTTGTCAAGGTCAGCAACCTTGTCGACTACTCTTGCGTCACTGACCTGGTGATGACGCACTATCTCAATTGAGACTGACGTTTTGTCTTGAGGCCAACGTTTTGTTACGACCAGACGAAGAACTGCCGTATCGTTCTCTCTGCTCAAAGAAAGTAGGATGTCCGGTCTAAACCCTATCGTTGTTTCGATTGAGTCGAAACAATATATAAAGTAGGACATTAGCGATAGGAACGGAGCTTCTTAGTCATTTTTTGTGACTTTTGTGATTTTCACGGGAAAAGGAACAAGCATTACATCCTAATGAATTTATCTGACGAAGAAATAACTCTAAACTAGAAGGATCTTCTTGAACGCGGATAAATTTCGAGTTAATGATAATCTTGGACGACTAGGTGCGGGAACGGTACAGAGAACCCGTCATTCTAACCAGTCGTCAAAACTTTGCATTAAAACGTGTGCTTTCAGTGTCTCTAAATTTTTGTGGGCTATGACTCACAATGTCTGAAATTTTTAAACGGATTCAAAAACGGATCTATTCTTTCTATCTGGAACTACTAAAGGGGCACGATAGCTGGCCGGACTGAGATAGATTTTTGCGTTCTATCATGGGTGTATCGTGCTTGAGATTAAGCAAACGTTGACACTCTGCGGTAACCATTTGGAGGTTCATTGATGGATTCTGCTCAATCGAGTTCGGATATCGGCATCTCGTGGTGACTGTAGCCCACAGATAAAGATGATCCTCTGTCACTTTCTTGAGTTTGAATCCTCCACACTGACGGTTCACGACGCAAGATGATCATCACTGTTTGATTTAACCAGCTTCAAGCCATTCTGGCGAACGCTCAGCAGAGAAGACGGTTCGCAAAAAACTCACTCAAAATTTGTACACGTTCATCAAGGAAAAAGTTTTTCGGGGATTCGCTGAGAATGAAATTAATAAATTTGTCATACTGGCTTGTCCCGAACTTCTGGAGTAACAGCCATGATCTCCAACCATCATCCAAATTCGCAAACTCCGTCCAAAAAATGCCCCCGTATCTTCGGAACCCGGATTCGAAGGTGGGATTGGATTCTGCATCCTAGCGAAACTCAACTATACTGTTCGCAACAGCGTCAACAGAGGATTTATTCGCTTCACAGTTGTGGCTGGGCTTCAAGTTTCCAATTTGTGAAGGATTAATTCGACTAACCTTAAATGAGACTCTTCAAATTTTGCCTGCTGCCGTTGCAACATCAAAACCGGTTCTTTATGTGAAAGCGGCACTGTGAGGTTCGACTTCCAATGGTTCCGTCGCCAACTTGTTGTGGACCGCAGCCCCTTAATGCCTTGTTATTACCGTGATCCCCGGTCTGGATAGCGGACTGATAGCCTGGCACGCTTGGCCAAACCAGAAAAAATCAATGAACGTGCGAACCGGCCGATCTATTGATCACTGTCGGGTACAAGCGGGTCGAAAAAAGTGATACTAAGACTACAATTCATCTGTCAAGGTCGAGTGAAGAACAACCAATGAAATCTGTCTGGATGAAAAACGGTTATTCCATTGGCTGTTAGGTAGTCTCGTTACGTTTGGAGCTGGTTCTCCTAATACAGTCCCATTGAAAGCACTTGGTCGGACATCCGTTGTCCAACGGGGTCAATAATGTGATGGAATTTTTCCATGCTCAATCGTGGTAAGTTCAACAATATGTTGACATATGTTGACAATATGTTGACCCCTGTGGCAGCGAAATTCCAGCAGAATTATGGCATGACAACCTTGTTGCTTAGGGCCTTTTCAAATTATGTTTTAGCGAAATATTTGTTTGAAAAATTACTCCGGGACAACTACGCTTCGATTCGCAGTTTGCTATCGACTTTGGGATATCTGTGATGAGCAAGGAAAAATACACAGGCTCTACTCAGCAGTCACAGTTTTCCCAACCTTGGATACACGACAGTTGAAAAACTGAGCTACACTTGAGTCCTACTTGGAGGAAAGTGCTACCTGACATGGAAACTAACAATAACAGCCGTTATAAAGTGGATTGCTTCGTTAAATGTAAAATATTCTACGAATTATCGACCTCACTTAGAAAAAATTCCACTGTAGAATAGATTTACGTTTACCAAGTTCCTCTTTAGAACTAGGTCTCGTCGAAACCAAACTGATGTACAAATGATTGTATTCATGAAAACTTCGTTATTCCTTTCCTGGAGACCAAGTTGTCTTGGTTGCCTCCCATCTGTCCACGCCATGTGTGACCGGTTTCGTCCAAACCAAATTAGTTTACAAATGAGTGTATTTCGCTAATTTCGTGCGATTTGGTTTGAAATAGTACGTAAGGTTGACGGAAACCCGTGGACTGCGCCTACCTGATGAGCCCCAAAAAGGGCGAAACTGGTTGTGGGCTGTCAACGGGTTTTCAGCAACTTAATGAGTAGTACATTACAAAAACAACTTGGTGAGTTTGACGAATCACACTCGCTTTGCTGCTGCATGAAGCTGACGAAAGCTTCGTGGAGCACAATCGTAAAACATTTTTTTTCTTGCGTTCCTCTGTTTGTTCGCTAGCAAACGACAGACCGAAACTCAATGTGACTCACGTGTTCCCCGAAGAAGTCACCGTATCCTGGACCGAATCCAAGGAGTGCCGAGGTTTCACTTATATCTATGCGCTTCGTCAGTATACAGCTGGGGACCCCAAACCAGACGAAGTGAAGAAATCGGCTGAGACAAGAGGTAAGACGTGAAGTGGCCCAAAAGTTGCGACTTTTTCCTTCGTTTGAAAAAGAATACTAATTTAAAGTCCTGAGGAAGCTGGAATAGTAATGTACGGTTTGACCAATTGGTTTATATTTACGGGATAGTGAAACTCATTTTCAGGTAAAAGTTTAAAAAAATTTCATCACAGAAGAAGCAAAACATCAGTTGCTCTGCCAGAACTCATTTTCACATAATGCCTCGTATGATGAGGAAATCGATCAAACGAATGAACACAAGGTTCCATTGCACTGTTGCAGTTTAATACTGCCTACCACAAGAAAAATCCTAAAATAAGCTCCACGGCGGTTTAAACGCAAAACCGAAGCCGCAAAATGATCACGAGTATTGTGAAGCCTCGACTGAAATTTCACCAATCTGGCAATGCTGAAGGGCAAGTAAGTATAGTCCAGGTATTTCACCCTTGTCCGGGATTGACAGCACTGCACCGAAATGTTGTTTTCGTCGCGTACTTTAGAGGACACGAGATGGCTCATTGGTTAAAGCGCGAATTCACTGACCAAAAGGGCCATGGTTCGAACCTGACCTCTGCATCTCGATTTCCCCTGTCTAGGTTTGGGCACCCTGGCAGTATCCAGGCCCTCGTGCTCCCTTCGGGTGGCATGGCATGGGAGGGTGTTGCAGCTGAACGATTTATTTTTTCAGAAGAGAAACTTTCACGCAGTTTCTTTAACAGCTAGGGCTCAGTGATTTCCCAAAGTATGGGGTGGACCCAGAGCAAGACGTAATTCAACTGGGCAAAAAAATCCGTTTTTGTGGACATTACTGGCTTGCGAGATCCTCGGGGACCCATAGTGTACGCAGGGTGTGTCATTAGATAAAGCACTGTCTTCCAGTTGTTATTCCAAGTTCTGAATATCTATGAGCAAACAGTTCTAATTTCATCCCATTTTTATCGTCTTTCACCATTTCAAGCCCGAAGTAACCACGTACTGTTCAGTAACCATTTTTGGTTTCAACTGTGCTGACAAACCTGAAAACTAGAGCGCATCGGTAAAATCACTTTGGCTCCAGAGGCTAATTTGATAGGCTGTTGTGGGCCGTTTCTCCAATCGCAGCAGACCAGATCAGGTCGTTTGTGGTGAGAACAGTTTGAGACCTATCGACAAGCAAACTGGGGTCAAGATTAAAACGTAGACGAGCACGTGGTTTTAAGACGATTGTTCTTTTATATGACCATTGGTGTGATGCCCCGACCTTGACATTCGCTTGCTTCCTGCTCACTTTGATCTGCTTCTAACGAGGTTTGGGTTGCCCCTAAAGAGTTAACTCTATTCTCTTGTTTGAAATAAACACAACTGATCAAGGTGACTTTATTTGCCGTGGCACTCGGACCATCCGATCTGCCCGAGATGGTACATGAAACTAACAGGCACCTAAATTGAGGAAGTAATTTCATACAGGAAACTACTCACAAGGTTGCATAAAACTCTTCGACAACAAACTTGTGAGTAGTTTCCTTTATGAAAATATACTGCGATATCCCGACTATCGTGCCAACTGAAACATGAGGTGGCCTGAGTGTGGCACATTGAGTTGTAGAACATTATAAACGAGAGATTTAGTTGATTCTCTCGTGAAAACCAGACTGAATTGTAAATGAGTCTACTTCTCGAGGAAGTAATTTGTTCCGTGTGCGACTGTCGGATTCAAATTTCTAATGTCCTGTCTCAAGGTTTTTTTCTTACGAAAGCGCAGTAGTGTGTTACGCCGGCGAGATAATCCTCAATTTTCTATTAGGTGACTCTGTGTGAGCTAGACGTCCTATAGCTACCCAGTTTGGCTTTTCTCTTCAGATTCATCATTCTCAGTAGAGCGGAGGAGGTATAACCGAGGTGGAGGAGTGAATTATCAAAACACGGCCTCCACCTTACTCAAGCGAATTGCATTTATTTTCATGTCCGATTGACCTGTATATGTCTTTAAACTGCGTTTAAACGATGCGCACTTGTGTGGCCAGTGCTATGCGAGCCGGAGACGTTGTTGACCTCAATGAAGTAAGCGACCTCAGTGAACTCAGGCTTCCACAAGCTTGAAAAGCTCCGTGAAACCAGATAATGCTAGTTATCGTCTGAGTGAATTTGCCTGGTTTTTCTTTCTACGCCTTCCTTACCTCTGTGACAGCGTTGGCAATTGCGGGTGGATTCGTACAGCAGTGGCTCATGATACGTGATGATGGCCGCTAAGACTGACATGATACAGCTCAATAAGTAGGAATATTGTTCAACACGCCGGAATTTTCGCAGTACTCGGAACCTAATCAGTAGTCTGCGATGAATAAAAATTTGGCGAATAAACTACCCGTTTTTGAAATTTGTGTTCACTGGAAATACCGAGGGAAACAATTCGAAAACCTAAGTGGACATGACAATGTGTAAACTTTACGACCTGTTCTTTACGACGCTTAACTTGGTCCACTAAGATAAGTAGATTTGCAACTCGGATACAATCGTGGAGGAAATTTAGTTACTAAAAGGTGTAAACGCGATTAAATGACCAGCCTGGCCGGTTCACCGAACAGCAACCCTGACCGAATTTAGGGTCAAATCATCGATCGCCAGGCATCTAATCGACCCAGGACATAGAACTGAACTGAACTCATTGTTCCACACCTACCACAAAGCAGTTAGTCACATCGCTACTGGGGTTCCTTGAAGCGAAATTCATTAACCTCTCCAAGCCCATTCTCTACACTCAGAGAGATCTAAGGGTCAATCTGAGTCTGCCTTGGATTTATTGACTGGCCACGTTGTTTCAATCTTAGATAAATGTTCTGAGCTGCGCTGTATTATGGAGTTTATGCTGTCAAACACTTCTTACGATGGAAAAAGAGTGTGCAAAACGGATTCATCTAGCATCCTTTTGTTCTCGCCGCCTTGTTTAAATCTTGTGGATATTTTGGTTTGGTAAACATCAAAACGCATTCCGACCTCTTCAAAGTCTCCGTAAAACCGTGTATGGGTTTGCATCCCATTCGTTTGCAGAACACATTTTCACAGGATTGTCACCCTGTACCCGTTACCAGTACCGCGTAGTCTTGCAAACATCCTCAGATGGTACCAGTGTGGTCGAGTCGGACCTCTTCGAAATAAAAACGTTGCCACAAAGTGAGTCTTGTTGCAGTTAACATGTGGTCAGACATATATCCCGCTTCGTTGAAAGCATACTACACTATAATATGGTATACTATACTATAATAGCACACCATACCATACTTTACTATATAGTACTATATATACTATATATATCGTACTATATTATATTTACGATGTACTATGTAATATACTATACTAATACTATAACATATTACACTGTACTGTACTATGCTACACCTTACCTTACTATACCGTAATATACTGCACCATACAATACCAGCCCATGCTATACTGTAGCGTTCCATAAGATATAACAATGCGACATCATCGCGACTCAGCAAAGTGTATTGATCCACTATGGGGCAAGCTTTCACCTGAAAAATAAGCACCAGTCAAGAATAGAGAATTTTCAACCAGGTACTGCCGCTATCCTGATACCACGAGGTAGTGACTGACCTACTGGTTAACCGATCAATTGGATTTCCTGCTTAAAATTTGATCTGTGAATCCGTTATTATTAACATACACAGATAGACAGATAGATAGATACATAGTTTAACTGGTTGCCTGATCTGTTGATGGATTGATAGATAGAATGCTCCATTGACTGACTGATTGACTGACGGACTGGTTGATCGATCGGTCGATTGATTGATTGATTGACTGAATGAATGATTGATTGTTGATTGATTGATTGATTGATTGATTGATTGCTGATAGGGTGGATGTCGACCTGTTTATCCAACTCGGCAGATAACTTGCGAACACAGCCAATTAACCCACAACCAATAAGCATAACCCAGCTACAAACATTTTAACTCATTAGTGCTTTTCGGGCACTCCCAACCAGTGGACTATTGCAGTTCACCTCCGCACGCTGGAATGTCAGTTTCTTTGATTACTCTTTTACAAAAGAAGATTTTGGGCGACGGTGTGCACTGTTCTGAGGGCATATTCCATCTAGAATCACACAGTCGCGTCTGCCGATTTCGCCAAGCAAATGCCGTAATTTCATCCACAACTCAGATTACTAAATTGAGCACTTATCACAAGCAAATGTTTTAGAACGTTTTTCAGCGAAGCACGATTTCAATTTTGGGGTAAGCGAAAAAATGACGGCCGATTTCAGTCTGAAGTGATACTACTGGGATTCAGCATTTGACCTAATATTGTTTGCAAATCCGATCTGACAACAAGTTCCTTTTTTCTCAAAGTGAATTTTCGTCGATCAGCTTCATTGGTTTCTCTTGTGTTCGGTTGCTCCCTTTCGTTTAGCTCTTGACGGGCCTAGTGGGCTGCGGGCTTCGGTCTCTGGGTCGACCGTTAGTGTGCACTGGGACGCACTTGCATCCGGGACAGCTTGTGGGGTTTCTGAGTACATGGTTACCATGACCCCTTACAACGAAAGCCGTTCCATCATTACTGGCAGAGAAAGTGGAACTTCCATCACACTGGAACTGGAAGAGTGCACTTGGTACGACATCACCGTGAAGGCGAAATTCACAGATGGAGAGGTATGGAGTGAAGAATCGAAACCCATCGTTGTGCAATCATTTTTGAAACGTAAGTGATTCTTGCTGCCTGCACTCGTGGGAAATAATCTGTCAAACTTGTCTTTTAGGCAGAGAACTAGGCCTCTCGTGGGATGCGGGAACCTGCCTGCTTGTGAATTTTATTGACTACTTAACAACATTTACGGCCTTTCTGCTACGTCCTACTTCGCTCTTAGTCAATCCCATCAACCCTGCAGGGGTTCGAACTTCGGGGCTATGGCATGCGAGATGAGCATTTTAACGTTATCTCATTCCCAAACGAGTCTGACTTGTCAAGTCAGACATTGACGTAGAAAAAATCGACTGCGCTAAGGCAAAACGGTAACGCGGTTTGGTGCACATAATGTGCCAACGACATTGTTCATCGGTTTGTTAGCTGAGCTGGTACATCTTAGTGCCAACGTTTCCTCGCCAGTCGAGGTGACATCACTAGTGGAGCATGGCGATGGGTTGATGGCTGAGTATCGCCGAATAGCGTTATGCCTATGTTTAGATACACGTACCGGGGCGGACCTTCGATCACGACTGGCTGTTTGGTTGGTCAGTCCCATCGGTTGGTCTGTTTTCCTGTGTCCTAATTGGTGGATGACCCCGTGACTATCGCCTTTGTTACCCAATCTATCTGCTCCCTGGAGAAGAACATTCATTTGGTTTTACGAGAGACTCAGATGAAACCCGAAACCGATCTTGGGCTGTCAGAGAATATTCAGCAACCTTATGAGTAGTGTATTAGCTAATTCGTTATTTCGTATGGATGATTCCTAGTTCTAGTTTACCCCAGGATTTGTGAGATAATCACTGCTGATGGTTCCCAATGCACATGGCGCAGGGGTCCGTCATCACGGAAAGTTTAGCCTTTATTTCAAGGTGAAATATTCAAAAGAACTCCAAAGCTACTCTTGACCATCTAAAAAATTGAGTAGTTTGTCTGGGAAACAAAAACGACGACGGGAGAAGTCGTCACACAAGAGGCCATTGAATACCGGATCACGTGACTTGAATTGCGTGACTGAGGGGTGGGAGATACGCTATCCATATATTAGCTTCGATGCCTCTGAATAGGTGAGAGCAAATTTCGTCCCGACTTGATTTGGTACGATTGCTGTTTGGCTTACAGAGTTGTACTAAATTAGTAGGTACGTTCGCAGACAAAAAATTTAGGCGACTCACCAGACACCTCGCTTGTCTGTAGTTCCTTACAGTAGTTACCAGGATATCCTCTTATCTACAGTTCACATGGTTCTCACCGTGTGTTTTTCAAAGTTTGACAGGATAGTTCATCTTACAGTTTTTCATTTCTTGTTTATCTGAATTAGTGCAAAAATCCGACATATGGCGGCTAGATGACTACCGTGTAGATCTGGGTATTAATTCCATGTTTTGGGAGATCATTCGTTCATTTCCTAACGTATCGTCCGTACTTTCAGCGTATCCTGTCCCGGATTTTACCATCACAAATCTGATGCCTGGTGTTCAGAAAATCAGTTGGACAGGCAGTATACGGTGGATTCACGAATGCGTGATGAAATACGAAGTTGTCAGGAGCTCAGCTGAAGATCAAAGTAGTTCGGTACAATTCACCATGTTTTCTGGCACACCAGGTAATTTATCTGTCAGATTTTTTTCAATTTGTCAATTTTGTGTATGCGATATTGACAGATCGTTGGTAACCAGGTGCTCTCTGGCTCACTCGCACGCGTCATTTCAAAGGCGAGAAGTAGGGGGTTCGTGGACTTGTCGGAATTTCTGCAAAAGGCTGACCGCCATCATTTTCCTCGTCGACGGAACTGATTTCCGCCTGGTCCGCTTATGCCTCCGCACATTGATCGACCTCTCCACATGGGTCTCATGCGCGCAATTCACTGTCTTTCCTGTGCTATTGGTCGAAATATCTCCCAGATACTGTTGTGTCTCGTTGGACGATCGTGGAACTCTGCATCGGTCCCTTGGCTTCCTGCTCCGCCCACTATGGTATATCAAAAGGCACGGTATATCTAGACAGCCCTTTATGGAGACAAAGGAGAATCAGTACATCTGTATTTTAGGATAATCACAGAGTGCTGAGGTCGTGCCAGAATCTCCGTGAGGGGCGAGAAGCGTCCAGTCAATGATGCTCTACCCGAATTGGCTGGCATTCTGACCAATCAGGGCATGCCTTCGTTTGGTCCGTGTCCTGCAGGTGACACATCCGTCCAAATGATTTGATGATCGGCTATTAGGGACGGCTGGCCTCAGAACAGATACGTCCAGAGTTGTGAAGCTATCCGAATCGCTCTTATGAACGCACTTTATAAGACCACTAAAAAAGGTATTTCCAAGCTGTCATTCGATCAGCTAGAGTAAACATCATGACAACATGTGGCCACCATAAAGGTTGTGTTCGAACAATGCGGTGATACTGAAATGCACCCCACCCAGTGCTACCACGTGGACAAAGGTGCTTGACTCTTTCACCATGGAGCTCCGGTTTACACAAATTACAATCCAATATCGTGTTTAACAAAGTTCACTCAAAATCTTTTTCTTGATTAGTTGTCCGAGAAATTTTCACAAAACTTAACAGTTTCCTGTGAGATTGGGGAGGCTTACAGAGGTTCCATTTTCACAGAGATTCAGCCACTGAAGGAAATTTTAACACTCTTATTCGAAAAGTTACGGATGTTTGAAAATCAACACCAATAAATGTTCACCTTGCTGTACCAATGTCCCACTGTTCGGCACCGTATGCAAGTGGAACTAATCGTGGGCCACTTGTGTGGACTACTCTCCACGGCGTTGAGTGTCTCTTCCGCCGTCGTTAGATGCGTCATCGAGGATAACCGGAACTGTTCCTTACTTCGAAGTAGTGCCTATTTTAATGTGCGGTTCAAAACGAATCCGAGAAGGTTATGAGAAGTCTGTCCCGTTGTCACTATGTGGTTGTCTAAGAAATATGGAGAACCAATCAATCAACGAATCACGGTGTTTCACAAGGCTATCATACTGTGCAAGTTGCATGGATCATTGACGTCTACCCTCTTCCAGTTCCGATGAGAAATGTTTGATTCCACGACTGTTCGCTCGTCCTGTTTCAACCTTCTTCTCCTCAGTTGTTCTGTTCACCTACTATCTCACAGGCTTGCGGAAGATGTGAGCTGCATTCAATCACGTACCACCTATTACTCGCCCTGCCGTGACACGTTTTTTTGTCAGCGGAGCTCCACCTGTCCTCTGTGCTTGTCGAACGGAATGTTAAAATTTCAGTTTTACAGCTGAATGTATTCAGTACTAGTAGGGAGGTTGTCTTGACTGTTCACCTTTAGGAGCAAAACATTTCCTGGCTAGCTAATGTGAGTATACATCAGTGAGAATTAAGTTACCTCGAACAGATAGGGAGGACTGCATTCACAAAGCCAATAAACTATTCCCTTCCTCGAAGTGCTAATCACACTGAGGTCCTTGTGAAAACGACACACCTGTTTCTCTGTCATCTTTGTGTTATTTCGCTATCGATTTGCCAAGATCAGTGAACAAGCGGCACATACACGTACACAAGTACATCCTGATTACATCTGCGTTTCTTGAGGTCGTATGGTTGAAAGTCCCCTCTTTCTGATCCCTCCGTAAAGTGCTTTGAATGAGCTGAATAAAACAGTGAAGTATAGTGATGACCTCCTCGCCGACTGTCCAGCCAGTTGCCAAGCTTAGCGAACAGATCAACTACTGCCTGTTTATAGTAGTATATGCATGCACTGCTGGATGAATATTACGAGATAATTCCGTGATGAAATAGTTTCGAGGCGGAAGCTTTTGTGCGGTGCGCTAATGGGTCAACACAAAATTCGAGGTGGTGGATATCCAGTTAGTCTGATTAGGCGTCAATTGCGAAGGGTGTTGGTACCTATAGCGAAACCCAACAGGGAATGGATCGGGACAGCTGTTATTCCATATAAACCAGGGTCATCGGAGGTAATTCGAAGAATTCTAAACACAGCTAATATAAGTGTAGATTTCCAGAGGGGGAACACTCTGCGCTCTGCACTGGTGCAGTTGAAGGATCACCTCCTGTCAAACAGAACCAAGAACTGTATCTACCAAATTAAGTGTAACGACTGTACCAAGGTCTATATAGGACAGACGGCCAGGGAACTACATATCAGAATCGGAGAGCATACTAGAAAAATAAACAGGCCGCCGTGAAACGCAGATGAATATCGAGCGTTATTAAAAGACTCAGCAATCGCGGAACACGCACTGGACACAGGACACAAAATAGACTTAGAAAATGTTGAGGTTTTGAGGCGAGGACTACGGTCCACGCTACACAGACTGATGGACGAGGCGGTAGAAATCGCCAGGCATCCCTTTGTTAACAGAAGATAAGGCGTGGAACTGGCTAGCGTGTGGAGAACGGTCTTGGGTCACTCGAGCTAACACCTGTTTGTGTGCCATTATCAGAGGGACGGGTAGTCATCATCTGGATTCCACTTAATCTTACGCACATCCCCTCACCCCAACTAAATTGTCGCGACATTCACATGTCCACGAAGATCAAAGAAAATCTACCAGTGGCACGCGAGGTGAATCATCAAATGAAGCACTCTGAAGTGGAAGATTAAGGAACAAAAACCGATCGGAACTAAGTTGAAACTCCTCCAACCCATCAATTCAAGATTTTGGCAACCACACTAGCCGACAAGAGCTGGTCTAGTGTGATAATCTGAAGAGGACTTACAGATGAATTCTCCGTCTGTCTTATAACCTGACCAATTTGGTGACCTGTTCCCTTGGACTGATGAAGCTTTTGTGTCAAAAGCGAAACGTTGCTCAAATAAAAAAAAACTAACGATTATTTACCAAGCTTCTCTGAAACGAGAACAGACAGTACTTTTGATTGACGTCCCGGTGGTTCTTTGGAGTATGTTTTTCATTCAGTACACATTCATTTTAACCACATTGGTAATTTTTACAGGTAAAATCATAACTGGCCTGGAACCATGCAAAGAGTATCAGTACACGATGAGAACAGGTTCATATCCTGGTCCTAGTGCAACGGGGGATGGCTTGACCAAGACCCTGATGACAATGCCAGGTAGGTGTATCCTAGTGTTTTACCTCGTAAAGTCATTATTTTTTATGATGCAAACCACTACTCACTACAAAGTGCATGCTTATGCCTGATTGTTGGAGTGAGTCTAGCGCATACTACTGAAGTAGCAGTAACATGCTGTCCTAACGTCGTACGTCCAGATTTGGGCACCATTGCTATAATTTGATCAGGTCAAAATTGTACCCCGTGATATCATACTAAGATAGGGTAATACTAGTCAAGCGTGAGTCGCCTCACAAATCCACTCATAAGTGTTGAGAATTCTGCCCAGTGGTTTATGCCATCCTCGATTTGGAACTCTTGACAAGTTGGCTGGGATGCCCAGGGAAGTTGAGCTGTCGTCTTTCGAACGGTTCAGTAGAGTACCCGTTGCACTGGTGTTCGTACCAAACTTGGGGACTGTGCATACTTGGTGAACCAAAAAACCGATCAGCAAATTCACGAGTGCTCTTCTTCGTGAAAATTCACTGCGCTATCTTGGACATTGTACCAGTGTGACAACAGTGATACTATTGATGAAAGGGTATGCGAGTAGTATGTCTTCTAGTAAACCCGTTTTGCGTCGCTTGAAAAGTGAGATCTATTGCGGAATTTGTGGAGTCGCTTTGTAGCATTTGCTTGAATTTGAGCAACAGTCGATGAATACCCAGGAATGTTCAGAAAGACGTGTTCGAGGAGAAGATGGATATTCAGGTTTTGTAAACAACATGCACCTGAGAGTTTTGCTTCCCTGGCCAATAGTCTGTAACTGTTCAGTCGACAGTTTCTAATAAATAACTCCGCAGCAAGGGCTTTTTCGCTTTCAGCAGTTAGCGATCTTCGTGCAGCACGTTCGTAGGTCATAAACAAGAGATTTAGTTGTGATTCAGTTCAGTTTGCCGCTAAAACCAAATTAGTTTTCCAGTGGGTGCATTTGACAAATTTCGTCCAATTTCGGGTTCAACCAGAACATAAATATACGAGGAATCTGCGTATTTGACGGCACCCAATGAGGGCCGCACACAAGAGTTTTCAGTAGCCATGTAAGTAGCGTATGGCGTCTACATAATGAATTGCGATAGCTCAGATATCGTACAGACTGAAATGCCTGGTGGAGCATATCAAATTGAAGCAGAGCACCATAAACGAGATTCAGTTGAGGCTTCTGTCGAAAACAAATTCGTGTGCAAATGAGAGTGCTTATTAAAAACCGTCCAATCTGGGTCCATCATAGGATTTTTGGAAGCTCAGGGACTGCGCTTATCTGACGAGCCTCAAGACGAGAAAAACCGGTTGCAGGCTAGTCAAGCGTTTTCAGCAACCGTGTGAGTAGTAATGTATCTTTCGTCACATTTGTTTCCACCTACAGTCAAACCTTGGACCCAAAGTGAGTGAACTGCTGGTCTGTGAAGAACGAGTGAACTATGTTCGAGGTAGGCCATACACAGTTTAGCCTCATTCTGTTATATGAATCACCAGCGGCACATTCATGATGATGTGCACTTCACTGCATCTCCGCCAAGGTACGTCAGGGTTAACTGACACAAAAATCCAAACGCTACTGTTTTTGCTCTGTTCTATGTGAAATCCCAATGAATTTTCAACCGCCACAATAAATACATGCAGAGTCAGCATTTGTTTCGGAAATCACGTGATGGGCCTGCTTGGAAGGCGCCTGGAACACAGGTGACTGGAGGCAGGAACTGACCAGGAGACGAATTTATGCTTTACTATTTCACACTGTTTGACTTTTCAATTTGTTCAGCAAGCCTTGTTCCCAATGATGTCCGTGCAAGTGCCATTTCGTTTGACACTGTTCGAGTTACCTGGTCTGGTCTGGCGTGTTCTGTTTCGGGTGCCACTTACACCGTGAAGGCCCAGCCAACAGCAAAAGGGCGGTCAACAAAACAGGCAATAATTACAGAGGAACAACTTCAAGCAGGGTTCGTAGAACTCGCGATTGAGCCGTGCACGCTCTATGCAGTATACATGGACATAGATACCTTCGGGAATCAGTACAGGTCTCAAGTTTCAATGATAACCTCAATGGACGACTGTAAGTTACTTTGTTTTCCTAGTGTCGAAAAACGGTGCCAAACGGGAGACATATCTGTAATGGGTTTTTCTTGAGCCTCAGAAAACAAGCTGTTCAGTTTACTACCAGTGTAACGGTGATACTACTGATGGGGGGCATGTGAGTAGTATGTTTTCTCGTAAATCCTCTTTGTGTATCTTGAAAAGGGAGATCTATTGCGGAATCTTTGGAGCCGCTTTGTAAAATTTGCTTGCATTTGAGTAACAGTCAATAAACATCCAGGAAAATTAAGGAAGATGCATTCAAGAGAAGATGGATGTTCAGTTTTTTTAAAATAAGATGCATATGAGAGTTTTGCTTCACTATCCATCAGTCTGTAACTGGTCAGTTGACATTTTCTAATAAGTAACTTCGCAGCAAGGGCCTTCTTCCCTTCACCAGTAGGCTTGGTTAGCGGGTCGCAAACACAAGGCCTTTGAAATCAGCTTATCATTGCAGAAACTGCCTCAAGTCGTTTCTTCATCGCAGCCCCTTTGAAGTTTGAACTCCATGGCCGAATGAGGCCGATGCACTAGGGAATTGATCTGACTTTGCTCCGTAAACAAATTTCATCCGTCAGATTGATATCATCTGGTTCTTACTGGTTTGGCCACATTCCTAGTTAATTTCATTGACGTAAGGCACTCGTTTTTGGCTTTGTGCTCACGAGCGCTGAGCAACGTCACGTGATCAGTCAGGTGAGTAGTGATCAGCGCCACGCACTTCGGCTTTTTTTGTGCGTAATCTGACTTACAGATTCTGAGGAAGTGAGGGTTTCACTGTCTGACATTTGATTCACTTGTGAGAGGAGTTTTAAAACGTGATCAGATAAAAAATAACCATGGTCCTACAGCAAACAGCTTTCCGAAACGATATCCCGCAACCAAGTTCCCCATAAACGTCGCCCTTCTTGGGGCTCATCAGGTAGGCGCAGTCCCCGAGTCCCCGTCAATTTTTACGTTCTACCTGAATCCGAATTGAACGAAATTGGCGAAATACACTCATTTACGAAAAAATTTGGTTTTGTGATAGACTCACCTGAAACCCAGCTGAATCTCTCTTTTGTGATGTTTCTAAGAAGAATTTTCAGCGACCTTCTGAGTAATGTATTACGTCTATACATGTATTTGCGATATCTCGAGTACCGTACCAACTGAAACATAAGACGGCCTGGTGCAGGACCTTCAGTTGCTTAGAAACTTCATAAACGAGAAATTCAACTTGGTTCAGGTGAGTCTTCCACAAATGAGTGTATTTCGGGTTTTGTCACTGTATCTCAAGTTGCTCACATTGTTTGATCTGTAGGAAGGACGAGCGCAAAAATGGCGGGCCATTAATACGGGTACAGGTATCTCTGACAGCCCGATTCCATTTCAATTGAGTGCATTCCTCGTGTGAACGGCCTGTATATGTTCGCTTATTTCCATTGAAGTTAGTCGGCACTCTCATATCAGGCGTTAGCAGACAACCTGGCCCAATAAACCCTATTGGTTTCTGTGGCATCTTGCTCACGTGATGTGTTAAGCCTGTCATGTGTTGAGGACCCGGCCCCGGATTTTCCCCTGTAGTTGACGCGTTGAGCATTCGGACATTGACAATACATGCAACACAAGTGAACCTATCGCAGTTGTCCCCAGGTCAGTTTTAGACTCATTTAATACCGTGTGGATGTAGAAGGCCTTCTCAATATGACTTGAGACAGGCCAGGATAACCTCATGTCGGCCTGTGTGTGCTATCGTCCTCTTGTTAATGAGACAGGTGAAGATGCCTATGACTTGGTTCCTCGAGTGTGCGGTGTGTCGGAACATCTTGACTGAGTGTACGAGCTGAGCCGTACATTTGCCCCCCCCCCGTTGTTCTTCCGGTGTTGTAATGCTTGTGGGATTTCGTCTCTCAGGTACGCAGTTGGAGGAAGCTGTGTGAGCTGAGTTTAATCTTACAGGTTCGCTTCAGCCGATGGAAAGTACATTTCTCGCAGGGCGCATACGATTCGTGTGTTTGGACAAGCAATGAAGGTCACCGGACGTCATGGTAACGGATAACTGGATGTTTGTGCAATGTCAGAACCTTCAGTTGGTGACTTCCTGTACGGCTTCTCCCAAGTTATTCGACCACCGGAACTAAAACGTACCAACTATTCTCGTTTGGTGCTTTTGACCAGACCAAGTATAACTCCTGAAGCTCGAAAGGTCTGAAAGGATTCTGAAAGCGTTTGAATGGCTTCAACGGACTTTTTTTGCAGACTCTTCAAACCATTCAATACAGCCACCCACGAAGTAGTTTGAGTGCCTCGTCCAGACTGCTCAGAGAAAATACGACAAAAGTTTCATTATTCCAAAAACGTTTTCCCGGAAAACCAGTTTTTTGTGTTTCAATAAGGAAAACGTGACAGACATGAAAACCTCTCCAACTCGGAATTACTTCATATGGACCTGAACAATGGGCAAGCTGAGCACGAATCCAGTGTGTCTCTTGCCTCTATTTAATTGAAAATATCAAAACGGTTTCAAAAGCAGGACTAATCGTGGGACATTGAACTGCACGGCGCACTTACCGTTCGAACGAGTGAGATGAAAGTCAAGATTCAGGTGTAGAAAATATTTCATCATTCAACTGTAACGCACTTTCGGTGTCTAACTGCCACCCCGCCCGAAGTAAGCACGAGGGCTGAACTACTGCCAGATTGCTCAAGCCTGGATCGAGGAAGTCGAAAGGCAGAGGATGGGTTCGAACCACGGACATTCCGGTCAGTAACTTCACGCTCTAACCACTGGGACAAATGCAACGCTCTACTCTTGAGGTTACAATTTGGGTTCATGTGGAACATGGAGTTGAGAGAAATTTGGGGACTCTGTCTACCTCCCAAGAAGGGCGAAATCGGTCGCGGGCTGTCGAAGATTTTTTTAGCAACCTTATGAGTAGTGTCCTCACTTTTAGGCAACACATTGTGGTATCTCGAATCTAGTACCAACTGAATGACTGGGCGGTATTGTGCGGCACATTGAATTGCTCAGTAACATCATAAACGGGAGATTTTGCTTGGTCCACGTGAGTCTATTGTCAAAAACAAATTGGTGTGTATTTCGCTAAAATTTCGTACAGATTACTGAATACGTAAATTGAGGCGATGTGACGTTTGAGACCCAGATCACAAGTTTTGTAGTACGGCGAAAAACCGCCACTAGGTTCATTTGAGTCGATATTCAGTACATCAGCTCTGTGTTTTTTACAATGCCAAAAACGATGACCTGAGTGAGGTGTCTTGGGATTCCTTCAACATGGAATAATTTCAACCAAGGAGTGACACAAATGGCTCCGCAAGACATTGCATTTTAGGAGATGAATTCCGCACTGTTTGCAACAGAAGACCGATTCACTTATATCGGACTAATGAGAGGCGAAGATGTGGGTATGAAAACCGGATAGAATAGCTTTACCTGAAGCTGCTCCATTAAAGTTCACTGAATGAGCGGTGTTCAGTGCCCACAGTCCATGTGATTACTAATCCACGTGATTAACAAAGTCCGACGCCTTGTTGAATAAAATGTCAGAAGGGTATACGCGTGACAGAGTAGAATTCCTTTGGCTAAGATCAACTTTTCGGACAGAACTGTGGCACAAGGTAGTTCTCGTAAACAAGGAAACGTTGTGAGGTAGCCGGATTTTGAAGAAATATCGTTCAGCTGTAGAACCCTCTCGGCGCTACATGCCACCCGAAGGAAGCACGAGGACTGGGATGCTGCCAGGTTGCCCAAACCCATATAGGGGATATCGAGAGGCAGAGGTCGGGTTCGAAC